ATATATATATATATATATATATATATATATATATATATATCAAGAATCAATTATAAAAAAGATAAAGTTATTAAATAAAGAATGAAAACATATAAATAATTTTGTTACATGTTTATCAACTAAGATGTGTGTATGTATAAGGACAAAGCGCAGTTAATGCACGCAATCTGGGGTATTCATACATATTTTTTGGTTTGATATTATTTTTAATTTATTTCTAATTAAACTGACTAATTTTCAAAATACTTTTTTTTCATGTTATTTAAAAAATAAAAATTATATAATATAAAATAAATACAAAAAAAATCCTGATTTCTTAACCCAACGAATGTCATGCTCGTCTTAGTCTATTTGTTTTAAAATTTGATAAAATTAATTTTGAAAGAAATGATTTTAGGAAAATCATTTTGTATTTGTGTTGGATATTTTAAAAGTGAGCTTAAAAGAATTAACTTTATTTGAATAAGATAAAGTAAAGTCCCTTGTATAGGTAAAGTTACCAAAATGAATATACTAGCCACAATGAGATTCATTTGCGAGACAAAGTGTCACTTTGTGTCACCTTGTGTTGTACCCAAATATGCTGATGTGAAAATTACAAACGACATTAAGTGGACATGAATGGAGGTTACCAGCCTATAAACTTCCAACTGAACAAAAGAAATAGTGATATATTATACAAAGTATTGTAGACAGTAAATAATGATATATTATACTGAATGTATTTTTCTAGTGCCAGTAAATATCAACTTACATGTTGTGCTGCAAAATCTCAAGTTGCTAATATAAGTCTGACACTTCTGTCATTCTTTCATATTTTTAACCGAATGCATCTTATTATATTGAAGAACTTATTATTTTACTAAACGTGAGAATACCCCATAAAACATACCCAAAAAAAACAGAAAAAGTAAGTCTAAAGAGTTCACAAAGAAATTGTGATGTCAAAAACTGCTTTTCCACCTAGTAGGTATCACGAGTAAAGGAATCCAAGTAAAACTGCTTTAGATACACACAAGAGGTACTCTGCTTAGTATACAAACCAACTCACTATACATATTTTTTCTCTTGTTACCATCCACAAATGATGTGTCTAAACTACATTTGAGAACTGCTGAGTGCATGCCTTGGATTATTTGAGGTAAATGTGATGCTAATGGTATACATATACAAGCAAAACTAAATTACACTGCCATGGAGGGTAAGGTGAGGACTCACTCACCTAAACAAGGGCAATATTCCCCACTGGTGCAGAAATCCCTCACCAGTGGTGACTTCTAAAAACAACAGAAGAAGCACAGCAAGCATAGCAGCTCTTCCATTCCAAGTTTCAGCACTTCTTGTCCATCCCCATTCCCACACAATTACCGGTGGTGGCAACTCCCTACGCTGCGAGTCATACACCGCCAATAACTCTTCTACACTTCCCAGGGGAACCAAAGACTGCCAAAGAGCCAAAACTTTGTATTAGATCACATGATATGAGAATGAAACTACAAAATAAAGTTACACAGAGAACTATATGGCTCAATTTATATCGACAGTTTGCTGAAATGGAATTTGTCTATGTCTGTGTTTCTTTGACAACTAAACAGTGAACACTGAATAAATATTTCTAGCTAGAATACAAAAATGATAATTGTACCTGTCTGGCTTCGAGGTTTGAAACTGCCATTGCACCAACATATGGGAGACTCTCAATTACGGCATCTGCCAAATCAGAAATGAAGGTGGGCTCACATCCTAGAGCAGGAACACGACCCCATTTTTCTATACCGGAGTTTAGAGCCAATTCTTTGTATTCAACATCAATTTCTTCTAGAGTTTCAATATGCTCACTCACAAAGCTGTGAATCAAGCAGATTTAACAAAATACTAAGGTCATTTTTTCTTGTGCAGGTACGAGACAGAGAGAGAAAGAAAAAAGAAGACAGAAACTATATACATATTAGTCAAATAATAAACCAAATAAATAATGAAGGCTGGTGTCACCTAATTGGCACAGCCAACAGACTTTTTACTCCCTTTTTCCCAAGTTCAACTATTGTCTCATCTGTATAGGGTTTTAACCATTCCACAGGTCCAACTCTGCTCTGTAACAATAATTATAGCCAATTATTAGAAATCCCAGAAATGGATATATCTAAAAACAGTAGCTAGGTTTGGGTGTAGGAAGTGATTGATACAGATTAATTGTGCCGGAAAATTGCCATCCTTGATAGGAGGAATGTTCATTTTTGGATAGATGTTAGGGTTCCCCCTGCAGTGTACCTTATTCCATATACTTGGATAAGACTCGGTATTTATGTTTTTTCATTTTTCCCTTTAACCATAAATCATAACCAATATCATGTATTGATACTTTGGAAATAGATAACCAGGATAATGAATAAAAAATAATTAAATAAGTAGTGACCTGATAAGCAAGGGTGTATGCATTAGTTATCTTTCTCTTTTCAAGCTCTTCCATGATCAAATCAACACATTCTTCCATCTCTGCCTTGTATGGATCACCAGCCTCTTCTACATAAGCAAGAGGCACCCCATGTGCACTAAAGAATATCATGACCTGCAACGAGCATCAATTAATAGTGGTAACAACAAATGTTTACAATGAAGTGACTTCCTAGCTCAAGGTTAACTGAAGTACAGGAAAAACTTCATTAGCAATGGAAAACAAGATATGAAGAATAACCAAAGTTGTTGACACAAAAAACTTGATAAAAAAGGAAAAGAAGCATAATGCCTTTTCACATAGTACAGTATATCACCTATCAAGATTCAAAGAAGAATAACAATGACAAGATAAAAATGTCTAGGGAGTGGGAACCACACTCTTGTCTAGGTCACATAAACATAAAATGATGCCATACCTTCTCAGGGCTGTCAAAACCTTTCAGTTCCTTTTCAATTAAATTTGCCATGGCCTTAATGTATCCTTCACGCTGGTACCATGAAGGAATTACTGTGTGCTGCATGTTGACTAGATACTCATCCTCTCTGAAGAACCAATGCATGATTCAAAACAAAACTGAATCTTAGATAATATGCTAGAGCATAATGATATGATAACAGTGCATCTTTACAATTTACAGTAATCACCTGAATATACTCTCCAAGAGACGAAGACTTGAGCCGCTTGTTGAAATTGAAAATTGTGGATAAAGTGGAAGCACAACAAGCTTTGTAATACCATCCCTCTTAATCTATATTATTATATGTTTCAAAGGAAAAATTAATTAAAACCAGACTGAAAATATATCAGAGAGACTAATGACAATTGAAGTTATATTAATTACTAACATAAATATTAGTTCACCCGTGACCCTGTTTCCTATATCCTCTCCTCAAAATGAGTAAATCTAATTTTCACTAGTTTATTTCTAAGATGATTTCTGTACATGGTAGATTAAAGTACGAATTAGTTTGAAGGTAAAAGTTTATTCAAGAAGATAACCTGTTAGACTGCATATCTTTGATT